TTGAAAAGGTGCCATGAGGTGAATAAGAAGTAATGACACCAAAACTTTGTTTTACAGATGTCTGAACCCTAAATCAGTGAAGATATTGGGACTAGTTACATTGTAAGTGTTGAAGATAGAGTTTACTTTTGTGAGGAATCTGAGTGTGAATTATTAAGCTTTGGCTAATAATATGTGCATAAGTATATGAATATCTATATGTGTGTATGCCTATGAGTGTGTCAGTTTATGGCTAAATTTGTTGTGTACATAACTCTGTGTGTGAGAAAGCATATGCAAATGTGAGTGTACTGCACATACACACACATTGGAAGTGGAATTGTGGCTCAAGTGGTAGCACTAGCCATGAGTAAATAAACTCAGAGACAGCCTAGACCCTGAGTTCAAGCCCAAGGACAAGCACAACCCCTCATTATTCCCCCCCAAAAAAGAAAAAAAGCAAACAACCCCCCCTGTGAATTTTAGGTTAGGTAGTGTTTCAAAGAGCTTTGCTTATGAATTTTCTCAAAGTCCATACAGTGTAATTTCCAGGTTCCCCCCCCCGACTCCTCAGTAGTTAGGATTACAGGCCTGAACCAACAATGCCCAGCTTCTGGGGTTCTTAAAACCTTGATGATAAAGGTTCTAAGGACCATTGTCTAAGATGTTTAGTAACAGCTTATCCGCTATACAAACCTGTGTGACACTTTATGTTATCAGATCTTAGATCATCAGCAATGGTTTGGAGACCCTGTGTAGGACCCCATCACATCTTGGGTGTCTGTAGTCAAAAACTACTGACTTAAAACACTCCAGTGACTGTCAACCCATCCCAAAGATAACCACAGGGTATCACAGCCTCCTTATTATTGGACTCGTTAGACATCCTCCTTGATGATACTAAAGGCCAGAGGGAGATTTGTCTCTGCTGTCTCTGCTGAATCTTTCCACTAGTGTTAATGAGGTTATTCAGAAGACAATGAAATAAAACATACAATAAAAATAGGTAAGGTTGAAAGCCAAAGTACCTAAAATATACTCTGTACTTCATTTCATCTTGGGTATGAAATCCCATATTTTATTTATATTATCCTTGTTCTGTCTTCCTAGGAAGGACCAAGCTGAGTGGCAGGAAATGAAATTGCTTACTCAGAACAGTTACTCAAATTGATGCAAATATTGTCAGAGTTGGAAAAGAATCCCCTGGTAGGTGTCATTCTGGTCTTTCCCTTTGGGGAATGGAAGAAGGCCAATGAGAATGAAACAGAGGCCACCAAAGATGAAGATAAACTGTGCACCACAAATACTCTATTCTTTGTCCAAAGACAGTAGAGTTTTGATCAAATATATGTGTTGTGAGTGGGACTAAGGCAGTTTCATGAGGCCAGGAGCAGAGGCTCAGATAGCTTGAGTAACTTTTCCAGGATTCATGGGGTCACCTAACTGAGTGAATAGCTTGGCTTGGACTTAAATCCAGGCCAACTGATGCTCCTACTTTTATTAATGTTCAATGAACGCGTGCTACTATATTCTGTCTCTGTGTTTCTTATTTCTTAATTCTGCAAAGAAAACATCTACTTTTGGAATATTAACTAGACATGATTGGAACTAACATTGTTCAGTTATTGCACTGTAGTTACAATCACCTCTATCACAGAAGGACGGATCTGATTAACCTTATTGCCAGTATGAGCAAAGCAAAGCAGGTAGATAATTTACTGTTTGAAATGAGGAAGTAGTAGAAGATTCTACACCACCTGACTCCAGATAAAATTGAGACCTATGAGACCACTGCGTAGTGAATGCACTCAAGTGCAGGGCCTACTGAGCAGGGGTAAAAGGGAAATGGAAGGTTAGAAACACAGAGGCCAGACAGGGTCTTGTATAAACAATCCAGGCAGGATAAGAAATGAGTTGAGGATGGGTATGGGAGATTTTAGGCAAAGAAAATAAGGAAGGAACAACAAATACATTCCATGCTGGAAGCATAGGGAAGCGTCTGTGGATGGTCACAGGTTTGGGCAGATGGTGACATTATTTCTCAAAGGGCAAGTTTTTGGGAGGAGGGAGAGCTGAGCTACTCTGTCTGTTGTTAGGTGGGCAGGTAGGAACCCAACTCTCTAGATCTGTGGAGAGTCTGTGGACCATGGCCTCTGGCTTTCCTTATTATTTGGCAAATTTGTAATGAAGGCTAGTTGAAGCCAGCATGTTTTTATATAATAACTGACTTTGCCACTTGAGCCTTCTTTACTCAGAGTTCGTGCTTCTAACTTTTCCTTGTATTTCATTTCCTTTGTTCTTTTTATTTTTTTCCTGAGGATAAAATATCCTGATACCCAGCCTGCTCCCTTGGTCAGAATGCAAGTAGATAAGAATGGTATGCTACCAAAAAGACTTTTTTTTTCTTTCTTTATGATTTAAAGCAAGAGAAAGATAATTCATGGAGGCTCAGTTCATTCAAAGAGTTATACTCAATCCCCAGAGCATTACCTTACACATTTTAAATGAAGTTTCTAGCGTTTAAAATGGGAACCTAAGTCTCTTGGCAAAAAAAGTATAAGTATGATTTATCATTCCAATCTTGCCGTCTATGTAATGCAGACATTTCACTCTTGGGAATGAATAATCTTGTTTGCCTTGAGGCAGACTGTAAATGCACGAGTTGTGATCAGACAACTTGACTTTTCATGGCCTGCAACCAAGTCAAATAAGCACACAGAGTTACGACCACCAGCAGATGCTAGACACGCCCAAGGGCCCCTGGAACATTGGGTTTTTCTCCAGAGGAGTTGCCTTATTAAAATCGGATGGCTTCAGAATATTCTTCTAGTATTGTATCTACTACCTGTACAAAATGTGCAAGACCTATTCAATTGACAATCGTCAGATATTTTTTGTAGATAATCATTCTCAAGGAGTTCTCAATATGCAAGGAAAAAAATACACGTCACCCTTGTCTTCATCCACAGATTGTTAATGGAGGGCCATTAACTATGGCAAATGGAAGCTAAGACGTCATCCCAGCAATGAAGCCCAGGCAAGCTCTGCTCTGACTCACAGAGCTTGTCAAACCTCTGACAGAATAGGGTCCACTTGATAAACGCCATGTTCTCCTCCTCACAGGTAATGTTTACAACTCCAGCCAGTGAGATCAGCATGGCAATTTTACTCAAGAGAGAGAAAGCTCAGAAGCATAAAAGCATAATTGTCTCTACTTTGGAAAGGCCCAAGAATCTCTTGGAAGCTGACTTTCAATTTTTACTGAAACAAAGCTGACTCTGGGGTGTGGCCTGGGTGTGCTGTCAGATGCAGAGAAGACAAATACTTCTGCCCATCACCAGGGTGGGGATGGGGGTATGCTGCAGAGGGTAACCCCTAAAAGGCAGATGGAAGCTAGAAAATGGGGACTTGCTGGAGCTCTTTGGTAGCTTTCTTTGTCTGTAAGAACTTTGGGGGAGAAGCTGAGTTCACTGAGGTAAAGGACCATGTCCAGGAAAGGACACAACTTGAAGAGGTAGAGAGGTCCAGCCAGTTCTAGGGTGTCTTTCCTAAACAGCTGAGGGCAGTGCTGGTCAGTACCTTGATCTGTGTGGACTTCAGAAAAATTAAAGGCTATTTTCCCAGTGTGTGGCCAGTCTGATAGCTTTTAGTGCTAATTTATCTCCATTCTTTTCAGAAGAGGGAAGACTGACTCTCCAAGAGCTCTTCTGATTGGAGAAACAACTTCCTGTATTCTGCCATAGGATATGAAAATACAGCAGCTTTCCTCTGAGGTTATTCATGGCTTGGTGGTCATGAATGGAAGAAAGGACCTTTGCCTTGAGATAGGCCAGTAGACCCCATATTATAAATACTTAAATAAAGCCAAGTTCTTGTGGCTCCTGATTATAATCTTAGCTACCCAGGAGGCTGAGATCTAGAGGACTGTAGTTTAAAGCCAGCCCAGGGAGAAAAGCTGGCTAGATTCCTTTTCCAAAATAACCAGTCCAATCAGGGTTCATGTGGTAGAGTACCAGCCAACGGAACAAGCAGATTGAATACACAGGCAACTATGATTTTGAACACCAGGATCACACAGACAAAGCAACACACACACACTTGTAATAACTTCTCATTACAGTGTGTCTATGATGCCTGAGCAATGCATGTGTTATTTGTTCTTTTCATTCAGCCTTACAAAACCCTTAATAATAATTTATAAGTGAGGGTATCAGAGTAGTGAGATATTTATAAATAGCTTAAGGTCACATAAGAAGCAGGCTGTGAACCCTAGATGAACTCTATCCTGAGAGAACAGGAACTTTCTGGTATGGCGAAGAGAACAAGGTTCTCTTTTCATAATGACACAAAACTCATCTTCTCTTCCTCTGTATTTTAATTTCCATAAAGCATAAGAACCCTAGTTAACACTGCTTGATTTTTTTTATTTTTGTGCTGGTACGGGGTCTTAAACTCAGGTCCTTGCACTCTCATTTGGATTCCCCCCTCCCCCCACTTTTCCCTCAAGGCTGGTGCTCTATCACTTGAACCACTCCTCTACTTCCAGCTTCTTGCTGGTTAATTGGAGATCAGAGTTTCACTGACTTTTCTGGCTTTGAATCTGTATCCTCAGATTTCAGCCTCTCAAGTAGCTAGGAGTATAGACATGGGCCACCAGCACCTAGCTCCTCTATCAGTTAGTGTGAGGATTATAGTTTTTGATTCTCTATCAGAATCTACTAGAAGTCAAGTATATAATACATACTTCCATTCACTACTCTGCTGATCATGCACTAAAGCAGGGTTTCCCAAAATGTAGTCCTCAGACTAGCAGCATCAGCATCCTCATGGCCTAGCAGAAATGCCAAGTCTACTGAACCAGATGTTCTGGGCATGGGACCCAGAAATCCTTATAAATCCCAAAAGTCACTGGACATACTATTTCAGAATCATTATTTTAAAGCACATGTGGAATTATTTGTTCAGGAGGAAAACCCTTGGCTTTAACATTGTTTTTCATTCATTCATTCATTTCTTTTTACCTCATTTCTAAGTCTTCATTCTCCTGTGGCACAAATTTGTACAAGGCAACGTAGGTGTTCATCTGTAATGGGTCTTTGGAAAGAGATCCCTGAAAGAGGAAATAAAAGGAAGGTGAGAGAAGGAATAAGACAGAGATGGAGAAAAGAAAGCATGAAACTAGGAAATGGAAAAGTTGCTATAATAGAATTTGAGCAGAGGGATCATAGGTGTTCAGGTATCTACCAGTTATTAGTGTTTTCTCTCTCAACTTGAGGTTTATTTTTTAATTTCTTAGCTGAGTTAGATTTTTATTATGAACCATTCAAAAACAATTATTTGGAACTCATTGTCAGAAATATTGAAATTTTCTTCACATAATTTTTTTCTTTGATATGAGCCTTTGTAAAAAAAATTGTCAGGGTTAGCCCCAGGAATGGAAATATTCTTTCTAAAGAGAAAGGGATATGTGAATAGTAATAAGCAATTCTTTTTTCTAAAAGTGGCTTTTTTTTGTTATTCACATTGAGGGGAAAACACAGATGTTGGCATCAGACAGAGATAGGGTAGGTCAGGCACCAATATCTACTGATTATGAAACTTTTCAACAGTAATAATGAAAGCTACTGATTTTGATAGTTTACTATGACCAGGCATCATGTTACTTCCAATAGCAGTATTAAATGTCACCATAATCTTGTGAGGCATGTTTTATTATAGTCCCAAATTGCCAACTCTAAGAGTCTTGTGTCATATAAATACTAGCTATCATTATTAACAAATTACATTTCAATGGTATAGAAACACACATTTTATAATATACAGGCTAAATGATATGTGGCATAATACATAATTTCATGATACTTTTGCATATGTGACATAATAAACATATTATATGTGTATGAAACATAAAGTTGCTCATGACTGTATGCATCATTTTTAACCTATTTGTTATTTAAAGCTCAGTTGTTTTATACTCTTTCTTTTATGACAAGTATATGGATATGTATATGATCATCTAAATATAAAATATAATAAATATATACTTTTTATGAAATGTAATCATATATTGTCATTTTTATAATTTGTACATATATGAGTCAACTTAGATAAACATCTATGACAAAATATAAAGATCACAATGAAATCTTTATCTTTACCTTTTGTGCCTTGTGATATCTGTTTACATATGACACATTATTATGCTATGGAACATCACATTACATTATTCTATTTTATTTTCCCACAATTCTAGTCTGGGACCCACACAATGGATATGATAACCCACTTGGGTAGTAACCTGCAGTTTGCTCTGAGGACTCCAGTCTGATCTGTCTTCTGTGACTTCTGCAGATACGTGGTAGCTTGTGTTCTTTGCTTGGTCTCTGAAATCATCGGTGCCATTTTCTGGATATGTAAATACTAAGGGAGAAGAGAGAGCAGGTGCTTGTGAATCCAGCCACCATGTTTGGAACATGACTGAAGGAGGTCAGTTTCTTTATTCTGTGCACTGTATCTTCTCCCTTGATCCTCACTGTCTTCCTCCTTCCAGTGACTCTGCCTCATGTCCTTTCCCATGGCCTGCTTCCCTCATGGCAAGCCTATGGTCTCTTAATGACCTGGCCAGCACCCATCCTTAACATCACTGGGCAACTATGTCTCATTAACTAACTAGTCTCATCTGGCCATTTTCTCAGGAGTAGGGCATGCTGTTCTTTCATGCTGAACGTGTTGAGTCACTTGTTAGTGGGGTGATGGTGAGGTATCGTCTCCTTCACTTGCCTTTGAACTGCTATTACTATCTGGGGGTTTATACTCAATATCTTGATTTTAACTCCTTAGTGATATCTATGTTCTGTTTTGCAGATTAAGGCTTGAGTTTCAAACTTCAAAACATTTCTTTGATCCCTTCCTTTCAATGTATTGGGACTGTCCTTATCATTTTAGTTTATTCTTGGAATGTATGGTTCTTTCTTTTGCATGTACATAGCCATGTTGAAGAAGGCCTTTGATAGAGGGCAAACCATCTTCAAATGGGCAGTTTTTCCTGTCCACATGGGCCACTGTGGGAGATACGGTGAGTTTGGTTAGCCGGTTCCCTTCAGTGACAACCTAGCTTTACCATTCTTACCAGATGTTTCTTCCTTTAATGACAAATGTTTCTCAATATATACAATAGAGTTATAGTGTCTAAAATTTTAATCTATCCTTTAGATGAGTTGACATTTTATTTATGCATTTATCTCTGCATGTATTTATTATTTAGACAGGGAAAGTTTATTTGACAGTGAAAAGAGAGTCACAGAAGCAGAGAGACTTTGAAGAGAGGGGCCTGGAAGAAGAGTGGTGTGGGCCAGAGAGCAATTGGCTCCTCCCATATCTCCTCCCCTGGGCTTTGATTGATGGTAGGCCTATGCACAGCCCCAGCTCTTTTCATTGTAGGTGGCATTTTAAAATCACCCATTACTTCTTTATTTATCCCTTTTATTTTCCTTCAAATTTTTCAAGAAAATGCCAGCAGAAAGAGGGTATGTGCCCCGGGAAAGAAGAGTTCCACAAAAGCCACAGTCTATTTCATTAGTGTGTAGACAATCTTTAGTGTTCTTAAAATAGAGTTGGCACCAAAGATGCACTGAAGCCTATTAAATATCTATTGCACCCAGTTTATAGCTGCAGAGTTAATGGAGAACAGTCCACTACTCTGAGGAAGCCTAATTAGAAGATAAACCCAGTTCCACAAGACCTTGTTGGCCTCAATATTTGGCCATTCAATCAAATTGGTTTTTACCAGTTTTAAAAGATATCTGCTGGTATTGTGTTACTCTTTGAGACCTAGGTATAAAGACTTGATTTTGACAATATAAAACTGAACATTTCTAAAAGAATGTTACATATTTGAGTGGGAACTTGCAAGGAGAATCTTCCTAGAAAATTAGGGATTGGGGCTAAAATGGAAACTGCATAAGGAGTTCAGAATGGATTGATTTTTAAGATTTTTTTTTGTAAATTCATATTGTTTTAGCTTTTTCTTGACTATCCCTCTGATTCAAAATGTATAGTATTTTTGTGAACTATGCTGGAAATTATTTGAAATGACTTTAACTGTGTTTTCAGACATACAGTTGCAATTAACATGAGTTTTAAAATCTATTCTTTCAAGCTGGTTTTAAGATTTTGATTTGAAGAAAGAAGAGAAAAGTAACTTTTTCTAAAATATACTAACTCTTCTATGAAAAATAATTTTTTTAAATTTCACTAATGACAAATACCCAAAGCCTATGCCATTACTCAGGCCTATTTTCTTTAGTTAAAGATGCAGGATAAATCTTTTGCCTCCTTTCTGGAGGCTGGGTTTTCTTTTCTCTTTCTCTCTCCTCACGTTCTGCCTTCCTTTTTTGACTTCACAGACCTGGAAAGCCGATGTGCTCCATTGCTTCCTGAGAGGATGATTTGGTTTTTCTTTCTTCCACATTGTAATGTGACAAATTACATTACTGAACTATCTGACATTGACCCATATTTGAGCCCCTGGAATAAGCCCAACTTGGTTTTATGCAATGTGCTTTTAAAATACATAATGGATTTTGTTTCAGATGTCTGTATCTATGTTCAAGAGGGAGTCTGGCCAGTGATTTTCCCTTTTCCATCCTTGTTTGGTTTTGGAGTCAGTATGGGAACCTCATAAACCAAGTCAGAGAATGCGGCCACCCTTCCCCCTGTTGATTTTTTTCCTTTGGAAGAACTTATGTAATCTGGAAATTTTCTAGTCTTTTAAATGTTTGCTAGAATATATCTATAAACTTGTCTGGGCCTGGTATTTTTACTGTGCAAAAACTTAAATATTGATTCAGTTTCTATAAGGATCAGAAACAAATCAAGTTTTCTACTTGTATTTCTTGCCTGGCTTTAGTCATTGATATCTTTTGGGTGTCAGCCTATTAAGAAAAAAGTTGTTGTTTTTTGGGGAGAATTTGGTTAAGACAAATTTTTTTCAATTTTTTTTTTGGGTCCAGTTGTGGGGCCTGAACTCTGGGCCTGGGTGCTGTCCCTCAGCTCTTCAGCTCAAGGCTAGCACTCTACCACTTGAGCCACAGTGCCACTTCCGGCTTTTTTCTTTTTGCTTATGTGGTGCTGAGGAATCGAACCCAGGGCCTCGGGCATGCAAGGTAAGCGCCCTCTACCACTGAGCCACCTTCCCAGCCCAAATTTTTCAATTTTTTATTTGCCATTTTTTGTTATTGCTTTCTGTTTTACTTTCCCTTATCTCTTAAAGAGTTGTTGGAGATCATAAGCTTTGATATTAAAAAAACAGTGGGGATTTATTGATCTATCTTAGTTTGTAATTTAATAAACCATACTCTTTATGGTTGCCTTTTTCCTGTATTTTGGTGAGGGTTTATTATATTTCATTTTCTGACTTTCAAGTATGGCTCATAGATTATGACTTCACAGACTTTCTTACTTTGTACCACTACTGGAACTGGAACTCAGGGCCTTGCGTTCTCACTCAGCTTTCTTGCTCATTGCTAGCACTTTACCACTTTAGCCATGCCTCCAGTCTGCTTTCTTACTTTGTAGAAAAAATACTTTAGAGTGGAATACTTTTAATGCCTTCACACAAACTTAGGACATAGTCTTTAAAAATTTTTTAAAGTAGTTATACAAATGTGTTTCAGTTCAACATGTCAAATTATGATGAGTGGTATGCCTTATATCATTCTTTCTCTTTCCTATTTATCCCAACCCTACCCATCTCCTCAAGTTACCTGGTTCCATTTTCATCTATGTGCATTGAGAAGTGTGACGGTTAATTATTACTTAGTCTACCATCTATTCTAATTTTAAGTATGAATTACTTTAAAAATATATTTAAATTTTCCAAATTATTGATTTCATGGTCTTTTTCCATTTTTTTCTTTTGTAGTACTAGGGATGGAACTCAGGGGGGTCCACACCCTAGGACTATGCTCTACAGTGCACTACACACCCAGCCATTTCGACTATCAACTTTTGAGTATTTTTATCTTCTTTCTATGACGGACAGAAAGATGTGTTCTGATAATGTTAAATTCTTTGAAACGGATGAAGCTTGTCCTATCGTCTAGTAGGCAAGTTTTTGTGCTTTTTAGGTTTCTTAAAAAATTATCTTTAAGTAGCTGTAGGTGATGAATTTTTTATAATGGTTCCTTGTGTTCTTAAAAATGAATATGAATCCTTTGCTATTTAGATGGCATCACCTTTTCAAGTCAGTTAGATTAGGATTGCCAAGCATATCACCAGATCATTGACATTGGTACTGAATCTCTCTGCCAATGAGTGAAAGGGATGAAAAATTTTTCACTATGAAGCACAATATTAACTAATTTTCCTAGTGATTTTAAAATTTTCTCCTTAAATGTGAAGCACTGCATCAATTATGTGCAAGTTCATAACCTATCTATCTATAAAAGTATCTATCTATCTATCTATCTATCTATCTATCTATCTATCTATCTATCTATCTATCTATCTTCCATCTGAATTGGCAGTACTGGGGCCTTGTACTTGCTAGGCAAGCACTGTACTACTTTAGCTATGCCTGCAGTCTTTTGATGTAAAATTTTTTTCTTTAAGGTAAGGTTTTATGTTTTTTCCTGGGCTGGCCTCAGACCTTGATCCTCCTACTATGCCAAATATGCAGTGGGAGTACAAGTATGTTTCACTAAGCCTAGTTTATTATTTCGCTAGGGTCCTCCCAACTCTCCTCCTTAGGTTAGCTTCAAATCATAAACCTCCTATGCCTACCTCCCAAGTAGCTGAGATTACAGACATGAAACACTATACCTGCTCAGAATTTGTATCTTCTGATGAAATATATATGTATATAATGATGTTTTGTATCTCTAGTAACTTCTTTTTCGTCTTCAAGTTCATTCTTATACATTAATATACAAGTTTTCTTTTGCTTTTTCCCCTTCCTTCCTTCCTTTCTACTTTCCTTCCTCCTTTCCTTCCTTCCTTCCTCTCCCTCCATATGTGATGCATATGTCTCTCCTTCTCTCTCTCTCTCTCCTCTCTCTCTCTCTCTCTCTCTCTCTTCCCTTCTTTCTGTTTTCTCCCAAGTTAAGACTGATACCTCTGGAAGATAGTCTCCTTTCCTGGGGGCATGATGGATGGGTGTCTTTGGGGGTATTGGCATTTTTTCCAAAGGTTTGTCATTGACACTGTTACCCTTTACTTCCTCAAGTTTTGTCCTTGAACTTCATACAGGGGATCTAGTATGATTCCATCTGAAGTAGCAGCGCTGTGCACAAGTAATCATTGCCTTGATTATCTACTTATATGTTTTAATCACTTCGAAATCCTAAAGAATTGTCTTATTTTGCTGCCAATTCAGCAATGCATAACTAGAAATTTCTTTTTAGGTATCTTTCCTAACAGTTTTAGGAGTGCTGAACTGGGGGAGATTTCACAGTGCATCTATCCTTCTGTTTGCTGGAAAGGGAACCTTCTATGCTTTTAAAGAGATCCTTATCTATTAGATCCTAGGTTTGTGTTGCAAAAACACATTATAAATACATCTACAATATAGGAATTTTTTCCATCAGAGGGGTATAAGAACCAAAAGTATCTGTCAACTGACTCATTAAATATCTGTTTCCATTATTTCTTCTTTTTTTAGCAACAAGATAAAATTTGACATGTAGAACTAATGAGGGCTAAATGCAAGATTAAAATTTCAAAATGCATACATTTTCTGAAAGCTTGCTTTTTTCTTTGATTTCTGGGCAAAATTTCTTTGCCTGAGTGCAAAGTTAAGATGATATTAGATTTGTAATATCCTTGAGTGTGTGTGATAAACCAAGACCTTTCTGAAAAAATTTTTTTCTAGGAAATTTGTTTTCACTTGTTTTTTTCTGTTTCTTTTCCAGGAAAACTCTGATCCCATAAAGTTACAGTGAAATGCAATTACTGAAGGTGGTCAGTAATGTTATTATTTGGCATGTTGAGCCAAGATAGGGAGTGTGGATTTTGCTTTCTGCTTATTACGTTATTATGAGTGATGTGTCTAACACTTAAGTCAAAGGGAAAGACTAACAACTTTCCCTTTCTCCATCTCTGATGCATCTAGGAATTGTACTGACAACAACTGGAAATACTCAGACCTGCCCAAGATAACTTATGAGAAAAGGCAGAGACTGAAGTCATAGCAATAGCAGTAATGGAATCAATGTGACATAAACCCTCTTCTAAGCTGGAAGTAGAGACACTCATCAAGAAATCTGTGATAATACTGACTGGGAGAAACACCTTTTCTGCTCTGGGTATTTATTTAGCACAGAAATGAAGTACATAATACAGAACTGGTTGTGATTTGCATCCCAATCATGGTTGCTGAAAAGCCAAACCTTTTATTTGACACAACTGAGAAAATCCCTGGGAAGTTGAACCACATGAAACCAATGTTTTCTCCATGTTACTTTTTAAACGGCATGGATAGGGGATTAAAATCAAAGAAAAATATTTTGAACCAAACTGTTGCATAATTAATCCCTTTGGCTTCTAAGGGTACATTGTAAAGAATGCTATTGCTGATCAAAGGAATTATTAATAGATCTCCAAAGAGCTGTGGAAGTTTATAGCTTGCTAAATTCTTTCAACAAATTTCTCTCTCTTTCTCTCCCCCTCTCTCTGGACTCACGTGTACTTCAGATTGGCCTCCAATCTTCCTTCCTTAGCCTCTCAAGTGTGAGCTCTAACAGATTTCTTTTAATAAGGCTGTAAAACTGCCCCTTAACAGAAGAGACAGAAAAGAATCAATATTATGTCCTTGAGTATATTAATCTCAATTTTAGTTTCTTATCTGTATGGCATGTGGTGTGTGTGTGTGTGTGTGTGTGTGTGAAAGAGAGAGGTATTTAAACTAAATAACCTTTAATTCTACTTCTCAAACGCTGATGATCCTATACAGAAACCACAGATTCATATGCAGATTCTATCTCAGGAAATCTGGGTAGCCTGAAATTCTGCATTTTTAACAAGCTCCCAAGTGATGGCTGGTCTGCTGGTCCGTGGACCACGCTTGGAACAGTGCATCTCTGTGATGTATCTCTGACACTTGAGGGCCTTATGGTGACTTTGTGAATAGCAACTATGCTTCATATTGAAGATTCCTAAGTACAGATGACTACTTTAAACATATCTTAATAGGCAGCTTATTATCTAACTATAATTTTCTGAAAGAAGAACTCTCCAGGGTAAAGAGGTCTTAAATACTAAATGAGTAGGCTGGGCCAGCAATGGCATTGATATAACCAGATCAGGAAGGCTGAGACAGAGAGTTAAACAGGAAGCATTTGTTGGACATAAATTTGAGAGGTTGCAGATCGATTTTTCTGATAGATTGGATATGAAGTGTGAGGGGGAAGGGGAGTCAAGACTGACACCAAATGGAGTGGTTATGTGGAATGCCCATTTACAGAGTGGAGAACTGTGGGAAGAGCTGGTTTTCATGGTTAGATGAGAGGATCCACAGGAAAGCTGTGTGTGTTTCTATTGAAGGTGCCTTTGTCACATTCTGTGTGTCACATGCAGTGGGCCCTAGGCTTCTGCAAATGTCGAAAAGACTCAACGCATGGGGTAACTCAGAGAGATTGAGTCTGGGTTTTAAGTCACGTGATCATTAAGTGAAAACCAGCCACCTTCGTTCAGAGCAAGAGGGTGCCAAGGAGAAGATGTCCAGCACAGATAGTAGTGATGAGGCCTCAAGCCATGTTGGTTGAGAAAACCTCAGCAAAAGGATGCCAGCAGAGCTGGGACTCGGGTCTGAGCTGCTAAGCAAGGCTTAAAGCATGGACGTACAAGTCTGAATTATACATTCATTTCCAATCAGTTGGTTTTTCAGATATTGAACTCTAGGGTGGCTAGCCAAATTTAGTTGGTGGATCTGTATACCAAACAAACCTGGGCTAGGATGGCTCTTGAAATGTAGTACCATTTTCCCCTGACAGCCTGCCCCCTTTAACGAGTCTTTCTAATGACACTATTTACTAAGTGCTAATGTTTGCCTCAATCTATCAGCAAGCACAGTTTCCCTTGTGGTACTGAGGAATCCTTAACCCAGCAGTGAGTGTTAGCAGGTGTGTATGTGTTTTCCACTGAGGGCATGGCAAAGGCTTATGTATGCATATGGACTTGGTTGTGTGTCTTTACTCTCTGGCTGAAGAGGTAGTTTTTTCTTCATATGATCAATTAATATTGTAGAGCTATCATTTAAGAAATATTTTAGAGGTCATTGTAACAAGGACTTAAGTTTTTGCATGATTAAATCATATTGATAAAGAATATTTGGCTGATTGTTCACAGTGGGTTTTTTTGCCAGGGGTGTTTTGACAGCCTCTCAGGTACTTCCAACCTTTCATCTGGTTTCAGGTACCTCCAGTGTAGTAGGCCTTCTAGAGGTTGAGCTTTCTGATTTAATCTAGGTAGATGAAGGAGGTTTAGGACTGACTCCTCAATCTCAGTATGACTATGCCTATCTTTAAGTTCTTCTCAGAACTGATGGGAGATAGAATCAGGGAAACGTTATAGCCAATCACCAGAATCACTCAGAAACGACTTTCCATTTCCTTTCAGCCCCCATATTAGACTCTTGTCCAAGTGGATTCCCAAGGTAACAGGGAAAGTAGGGAGCAGAAGTGGACAAAGCCTTTGGCTGACCCTCATCTGCACAGGGTAGTCCCCTCGCTCACCACTGCTGCTTCTCTTCCTCAGGTCAGGCCCGTCTCCTGGCCCGTCAGCTTCTTCAGGAACCTCCACGAGATCTGATGTCTTGGAGGAAAGAAGAAATAGAGTGGAATGAGCCATAGAATATCATGGGCCAATGGAGGAGAGGTTCTGATAGCAGCAAAAGAGCTAAACTGGAATATGCATGACACGTGAACATCCAATTATTGCTGCCTTTGCTGGTTGCCTTCTGAGAAGCTACGTGTATGCTCCTGGCAGTGCCAGGTGTCTGTGGAAGGCCCTGGCTTGGCCTGAGTGCCCAGAAACACAGGCCACAATCAACTATGCTCAGCAACAGACAACAGAGATAAGTCATAAATCCTGTCCATGTCCATCATTCAAAAATTTCAAGAAAACGATAGCTTTTCTGATAGATGAGCTTAAAGTGCAAATCACAGGGCATGGGACATCCTACTGAGGGAGTTACTAAAAATTAAATGTTATTTACATTTCCAAACATTCAAATTTTGTGATATTTATTCTAGCTTAAAAAAATAAGTGAGGTAATTAGCATTTTTCCACTTGGGTTCAGACCATCAACCATAATAATACCACCACTCTAAACAGCTATCACATCCCTCTTTTAAGTGCTTTGTAACATTTTATTTGTTTCCTATAATAAAGCTATGATTTCCCTCCCTTCATTCCTCCCTCCCGCTTTCTCTCTCTTTCTCCCTCTCTCTTCCTGTCTCTCTCTCTCCCTTCCTTCCTTCCTTCCTTCCTTCCTTCCTTCCTTCCTTCCTTCCTTCCTTCCTTCTTTCCCAATCCTGGACCTTGAACTCAGGGCCTGAGTGCTGTCCCTGAACCTTTAATCCCCCTTCTCTCAATTGAACCATAGCTATACCTCCAGCTTATTTTTTGGTGGTTAACTGGAGTCTCACAGGACTTTCCTGCCTGGGCTGGCTTTGAATACATAGAGGCACTGGTGCCCAGTGATAGATGCATTTCTTAGACAGGAATCTGAAGCCTACAGGGAAGTAGAAACCTGACGAGTTCCCACAGAACAAGTAGTGGGGTGGGGTAGTGGGCCCCAGTCATTGCCTCCAGAACTCAGAAGCCCAAGTTCTGTGTTCTGTCCTCTGGTGAACTGGCTGTGTGAGTTGGTGAGAGTTTTCTGGGTCACACTGGCAGAATGAAATTGGTCATGGTAGAGATATTTACACCACGGAAATTGGCAAATGCTATAAATCAGATCCTGCTTCTAGCTGGTGGATAGATCATAGGCATTTTTCTGATGATCTCTTTCAAAAGTTTTCTCTCTGCTTGGCTCCATTATCTTCAGAGAGAAATTTAGAGGCTTCTGAGGACAGGCAAATTAAAAAATAAACTATATGCCTTCTACAGCTCAGCTCTAGAGCACTGAGAGCACCTGGCTAAAATTGATTTCTTTGTTACAGTATAGCTTTAAGATTCTTTTTTTCCCCCTGCATTTTAATTTTCTTAACAAATCAGAAAGAAAAAAAAGCCCAGAGTCTCTAAGTCACTTAACTTTGGTCCCTTTGAAGTTCATGGTTTCTGCACAAAAGTTGCTGTGCAGAGAATTTCATTTATTTTAATTTAATATTATGTAACTGAAGATGGTTCACCAACTAGCCAACCAACTCCCAGAATGTGGTTTTATTTTGGAATTTGGTTTCTGTTGGCTTCTCCAAAGCCATCAAGCCTTTTATATTCTAGAACATTTGAAAGCATATTAAAAAAAAAGACCATAACAATTTGGAACCAGTCAGGCAAGAATTTCCGATAATGTAAAACAAATGCCTCTACAGTCCTGGAAGAAAATTATTGAGTGGACCAAAGCTTTGTTATGTGGGAATTTATTAGCATTAGGATATAACAATGCTAGAGAACAGCAAAGGGCTGGAGTTCATTACCACTTGACCCTGTAAGGAGGGAACAAAACCATTTAAAAATACCAACCAGTTGTTTCTCTTTCCTTCTATTGGAGTCAGTTGCACATAGGGGTAAGAGTGGAGTGACAGATATGTAGGTACACTTTGATTTGTCTTTGTCTCTCTACAGTTGTCAGAACACTGCCTTTAATAATCAAACTACAAGACATATTTATTGATGGAACCAGTCCCAGGGTAAGTGGACAGGGATGGAAGATACCTTATTGACATTCAGACACTGGGCTTTTTTTGCATTGTATACAGGGTCCAGATGTTGCTAGAAGAAAGTTATTTTAGAGATGAGAGAGAAAAGCAAGGACCCTTCATTGGTTCTTCTGATGGTTAGAACTGTTTATTAACTTCAGCAAAAATGCAGAGTCTGAAATGTTTGTGGCTACTGTGGGATGTGTCTGAGGTTGTCACCTCATCGTCGCCATTACTGTGTATGTGGGTAGCTCCGGGTCATCTCTGTGTGGGCACCTCTCTGCCCTTCTTTCTGGATTGGCTTTCTTTATTGAGTGGAATGAGGCTTTGTTGTGGGGGAATCTGTTCCTCCAGCTAGTGCTGGCCTCATACAAGGATAGGAAAAGCTTGTGCTAGAGTGGAATGAGGAAATATTTATTTGCTCTCACCGGAGATGTGAGAGCAGGCAAGCTTGCTCAGAGTACAGGTCAAAGTGAACAGAGAGCCTTCTGCTCTAGTCAGTTTCATGTGCTTTACTTTGAATTGCTGGGTAGTAGCTACAAAATCTTGACTTGTGAGGGAAGAGAGCTGCAGACGGCAAGCCAGCTCTCTCGGGCTTCTGGGGAGCAAATTCATTGGCAGCCATGGCTCTCGTCACTTCCTGAGAAAGACGTAACACCGTCTGTGGGTTTAGAGTGATGATCAGCATACTGAAGGCTCTTGATTCAAAAGCTGTTCTCACATGAAGGGACATGAGCAAGCATGAGCAAGGAAGGGAGGATATGAAGAAAAAAAGAGGAGGGGGCTGGTGGGGGCTGACTTCCTTGGAAGCAAGCTTATGTTCTGAATTTTGCACAATAATTCTCAATTTTTTATGTGCATTAGAATAATCTAAAAGGTTCAATAAAAAGAGAGAGTGGGAGAGAGATTGTGGGACCCCCAAGATGAGTTTTCCTGGTTTGGTAGTTCAGTGTGGGACCCAAATTTGTGGTTCTAACACACTCCCTAGGGATGTTGACCCTGCTGCTCAGTGATCAGTAGACCATGCTGGTCACATGTATACACTCACATGTCACTTACGAATATGTTCTCAAAAAGATGTGTTAGTGGGCAATTGTGTCACTGCAATCATCATAGTGTACATACACAATCCCAGATGGTATAGGCTATATATACACTTAGGCCCTATGGTATAGCCTTGGCTGGGGAAGGCTAAAAACTACTTTTGGTTCTTTCCTCTTAGAACCAGTGAAGTGCCTGAAGAACAGAGCTTTTGATGAGCTTAAAGATGGTTTCTACTATAACCACAAGACATCAGAGGACTTACAAGCCTTCTTACGTGTTGTTACCAGCTAGAGCATCACTCTATCTTAAGGTCTGACCAGCACCCAGTGAGGAAGCTGTTCCAATTCAACCTGAGAATTATCCTAAGGGCATGCTCTGCCCTTCCTCCCATAAGCACCCCAATCATGGGATGCTGAGAGGACTCAGTGGTACAGACAGTTTGGAGGCTTACCCTGGCCTTGCTCCCTAAGCTCCCAGTTCATCAGGGGCTGCAACAATCAAACCAGTGACTGGTTACAGGCTCTGTTACACAGCAGTGTGAATTGGAAATTCCTTGCCTCTCTGCAGGACAGATGGTGGCATTCAGCAAGGGCGGCAGAATAGGAAGGTATTTTGGAGCATTTATAAAAATTCTGAATGCGATAGCCAGGAAAGAGATAATAACAAGCTCACAGAAATGAGTGCAACAGTTAGTTGAGAGCAGTTTAAAAGTGGGAAGGTATTTGGGAAGGTGAATGTTCCTCAGAGGAAGGTCTCACCTATTCACATGTCAAACTTCTCTAGGAAGGATTATTTCCTCATGAAATTAAGCTGTGTACTTTGTTTTAGGAAAAGACAGAAACGATGAGAATTATCTAGCTATATCTTTCTACTGGGAAGTAGCTAGAAGGAGAGCTAGAAACAGTAGGACTTCCTGGATTCTGCTCTTTGCTCATGCCGGATATTTTTTTGTATTTCTTAATGTGTTTACTGATGTGTTATCTACTGGGAAGGTAAAGGAGAGAAGGTACACAGGATGAGTCATGAGCCATGAGGTTGGTATGTGAGCAGGAAAGTAACTTTTTAAAAAATAGCTCTTGAGCATACTTTATTTTTAAATAAGCTTAGTACATTTTTTTCAGAAATAATTGACATTATAAATCAAATGTGTTCTGAAGAAGGATTGGATTGAAAACAAACTATAAAAACTGAAAGAAAGAACACTAACAGAAGCTTAAACTGCCTTTGAGGATTGAGATAATCACAATGCAAGTAAAACGTTTTCTGGCAGTAGAAAGTTAATTTTAGTGGTGCAGAGCATTCTGGGTTTCCCTTTGGAGGCTGCTCAACTCAAAAAATGCCTCAGGTATGTTTCGGTGGAATTCCTCACAATGCACTGCCTATGACCATACCTGCCTCAGACACGCTCAGGGAACCAAGGGAGAACTGACAGAGGAATGATGGGATAATTACAGAGGTTCTGTGAGGTGAGTCAGAGCCACTGCCAGAGCTCCCCTTCTTCGTCCTCTGGGCCAAGGAAGTCCCGAAGCGGAGGGTCTCATAGACAGGGTCCACCTTATTGCCACATGCTGTAACAGAAGAAAAGCTTATCTCAGAGCAGCTGGTTAAGGAGCATTGTTAGTGGGAGTGTAAACTTGTTCAACCACTTTGGAAAGCAGTATGGAAGTTCCTCAAAAGACTCCACCTAGAGCTCCCCTATGACCCAGCAATCCCACTTTTGGGCATTTACCCAAATGTTTACAAACAAGACCACACTAAAGCTACTAGCAGGACTATGTTTATTGCAGCATTATTTACTATAGCTAAGATATGGGACCAACCCAGATGCCCCTCAGTAGATGAATGGATCAAGAAAATATAGTATATATACACAATGGAATTCTATGCCTCCATCAAAAAGAATGACATTGCCCCATTTGTTAGGAAATGGAAAGACTAGGAAAAAATTATATTAAATGAAGTAAGCCAGGCCCAAAGAAACGGTTGCCCTTATTTGCAATATCTAGTATATGTCTGAGTCAAGCAGAAAAGGTCAGATAAGGTGATGTTAGGGAAATGAACCCTAAGATAGGTGCTCAAATGATTTTTTTTCTTTCTTGCGATTGTTTCTAACACATTTATAAGATTATTTCTTTGTTGCTTTGTATGTCCCTCCCCCACAGTATAACCCCTGCTTTCATTGTATTTAATGTCAGTATAATTTGTGGAGGGAAAGGGGAAAAACAAATCGTCTAAATAGGGATACAGGTGGACCCATTGCAACAATGAGATGTACAAGTCATGTCGAAAATGAACTTTACAACTTTGGTGCGGGGGGGGGGGGGGATCGGGGGGGGGTGGGGGGGGGGAGGATGGGAAGGGATGGGAAGGGGAAACCAAGGAGGAGGCTACAATGCTTGATAAGAAATGTACTCATTATCTTGCCTATGTAATTGTAACCCCTCTGTACAGTATTTTCACAATTAAAAAAACCATGTATTTAAAAAAAAAAAAAGAAGCCAATCTATCTCAGGTGAACAGCACCTGAGAAGTGGGTTCAAGATAGCAGACCCACCAAGGAGAACCTGAAGAAGATCAAGATTTCCTATGAATTATGGCTCCACGTCAACCTGTTTGCTTTCAGGATTGTACCCAACACCTCCCACTGAAGCTCTGCTCCAACTCACCAATGGGCATGACTTCTTTAATGCATCCAAACTGCTCATGAATGAGCAAGGGGGAGCTGTAGTAACGCCGAAAACCCTTTGGCTGGAGAGAAGGAAAGAGAGAAGGGCTTGTCACCAAAGAAATGGCAAAAACTATGCATTAGCTCTAAAAGTGAGACCAGTTGGTTTCTTCCTTTAAGATGTTGACTTACACTATTAATTCTATAATTCACAACTGATGGGGTAGGAGGGAGAAATAGAAGACCATGAATAAGTTATGCTAATCCAGAAAGCAAGGTCCTGGCCCTGGTTATGCCTGCCCTGCTTCCTTACTCCTCCTGTGCACTCACTGATGCCTCTACTCTGTGTGAGACACTCATTTTCTCCCAGGACTTCCCAGAGTTTATTATTATGGGTTATTAAAATCATACCAAGGCTGGCCATGGGAAATCAGATAGCGGAAAGGCCTGCAGGATGCCCTGTGTATCTGTCAGCTCTGTCATCGTTTTCATGCCTCTCACCCATGGTCTTTTCCTTGGTTTGTGAGAATCACCATGTGTAAAGGCAAAAGGTCACAAGTGTGTCAAGGTTTAAGAGATGAGCACATTGCAGACCAGAATACGCGGATGAGTTTGTTTGATTTTTTTCAAGAACCTTGACTTACTAAACCTCAGGGCTGGAGGGAACTCTGTCTTTACTACAATCCCCAAATCTTCCCCAATGTTCTTGGAAAGTGATGTCCTCTTTTGTCTGAGCACTGTTAGCACTGGAGGAGTGGGGTAGAAGCCCTGCCTAATTCTAGATCTTTGGTGACATTATCTCTAGTATCTAGAAAAGACAACAGAATTCCTTTTCTTAGATGATAGGTTTTATATTTATATATAGGTTTTATATAGTATCTGAAGACAGATACTATGCCAATCTAATGTCTAATTGTTCTTTAGAGTAGGCATTCTTGGAAAAGTTCTTTGGCCATGTAGTTTTGAATATCCTTGGATATGCTTTCGGTTGCTTTTTTTCTTTTAATTTAAATCAGTGTGTGTCAAAAGGGCAGAAGCTCATTCTTGGGCTGGGAAGGTGGCTTAGTGGTAGAGTCCTTGCCTTGCATGCATGAGGCCCTAGGTTCAATTCCTCAGTACTACATAAACAGAAAAGGCTGGATGTGGTGCTGTGGCTCAAGTGGTAGAACACTAGTCTTAAGCTGAGGAGCTGAGGGACAGTGCCCAGGCCCAGAGTTCAAGCCCCACTACTGACAAAAACAAAACAATACTAAACAAAACAACAACTCCTTCTTCTGTGGTGGTATGATTAGAAGTGCCAACACTGACTCAGGAGGCTGGCTGAGATCTGAGGATCATGGTTCAAAGCCAGCCTGGGCAGGAAAAGTCTGTGAGACTCTTATCTCCAGTTAATCACAGAAAAATGCTGTGACTGAAGTGGAAGAGTGCTAGCCTTGAGCAGAAAAGAGTGCAGGGTCACTGCCCAGACCTAGAATTTGAGCCCCAAGACCAGTAAAAAAGCAAGCAAGCAAACAAACAAAGAGGTGCCAAGACTGTCCACTACCCCTTCATTTGACCAATGTGGTTCTGCTATGCTGAGGCAGACTTTGACTGCCTGGTGCCTTTTGGTGGGGGGATATTCTCTTGACACCAGCTCAGTGACAGCCAGCTAAGCTCCAGGTCACCAACCACTCTATTTATCTGAAGTGGAGGGCGTTCCTGGGTTACATGAATTTCACTTTGAAAAGAAAAACAGTCCCAGACAAGGGACTTGCACTGCTAAAACAGTCTAAAACAGTCTCAACCTGGGAGAAGTGGGGCATTGTTCCAATGTGGGGCATGTGTCTATGAGATCAGCGTAGCTCCCGCTCTGCTCCGACATTGTGTTAGGAAGACAGATGGGGGCAGGCCAGTGGGTCTCTAGTGCTCTTAGAGCCACAGACAAGGAGCTGGAGGAAATGAAATCCTTGACACAGGTAAGATCCCTGTGCAGAGAGCCCTGGGTCCCTCCTGGCACATGCCCTTACCAGCTTGCCCATGCACCGCTGGGGTGTGAGGCCGTCTGCACACTTGTGGTGGATGCTCATCTTACAGGCTCTGCAGCGCAGTCCATGCTTAGCATTTGTTCCTGTCAGGCATATGGTAAAACTTTGGTTAGGATACAAGTTGCTTTTTTCCTGGTGACCAGTCTAAACTCATACATACACACATACACAAACACACACACACATGGGCACACACAAACCCAAAATGATTAATCTAACCAGGTAATTCGTTCTTGTGACTTTCTTTATAGTATTTCAAAATAGAAAAAATTAATATATTCTTGAAGTTCTCCTTCCTATACTTTCTGCTTATAGTATCATCTTTGGCTTCTCCCCATTTCTTTCAGATTGAAGCTACCTCTACTTTCTTTGTTCTCTTATGGAAGCTAGTAAACTCCATTTTCTTTACTATTCGTGTAGGTCATCCCTTTCTGCTTGTTTTGGTATCTTTACTGAGTTCTGTGGGTTCCAATGACATTTCATTCATTCTGTCCTACCTTCCTCTCACAGGATCTAGGCTCTTGGGTAAACAGATAAAGTGAAAATGACAATGTCTGTTAGATAATGGGACTCATGGTCTCGGCTGGGGAGAGGGACTCTGCCTAGGAAATGAGGAAGAGGGGAGGGATGTGATGAGACCATGGCCTCTTGGGCCAAAAGCCATCATGGCCTCAGAAGGAAGAAATCAGAATGGGAGAGGGGAAGCAGAGAGCCATACATATATATCATATCATACAGTGCTACATCGAGTCAAGACAAAACAATGGAAAGATACGGAGGGGCTAAGCGAGGCTCTAGAAGGTGGAAGTGGTGTCAGCACCTGCGTTTATTGGCCAGATGGTATTAAACTGGGATATATCCATTTCATCGAGGATAAAAGAATGGCAGGACAAGAGGAGATCTGCACGGACATTTCAAGGTAGGTGGTAGGTCTCAGGTAGGTCTCAAAGTGAGTTGGTAGGCCCTCAGGTGGGCCTTACTGTGAAGTGCTTAAGTGAATTATGCTATTCTGAGATGGCCAAGCAACTCTCATGTATTAGAACGGAGAATGGAAGGTTGGAGAGGGCAGAACGGGGGTTTCTCCGTGGAATTGAGGGGGCACGTGTCATGCCCCTCCTCCCCGCCCTTGATGAGAAGGGTAGAGGGGCTTTCTCAGTTCTGCTGAATGGTCTTCAAGGAGATGATTTTCAAGGCTTTTCCTACATTCTCTGAAGTCTGTAGGATATGTGGCTATGGCTTGGGAAAGTTTTAAGGTCAAAGGCATGGTGATCGGCCTACGAGGGAGGGTAGTTTTGAAGGTTAGGTCTGCACTCCAAAAGCTTGTCAGAGAAGATGTGTGAGGAAAGAAAGCATGGGATTTCCAGAAAGAAGCTGCAGGTGATGTAGAAGGTGTCCTAATAGACCACCTGGCCAGGCAGCTGGACTCCAAGAGAGTGGAGATGGAGGGATGAGTGTGTCCCCATCCTGTGAATCATGAGGACACAGGTGTGGCATTGATCACCGTGGCTGACTCTAGACCCAGGATGAGGAAGCTCTGAGATCATATGCAAAACTCACCCTTTTCCCCACCATGGATACTTATCCTAACTACTCTGGACTTTCATCTGTGCTTGCCCTTTTCTAACCCAATGGAATGACAGTGGCCAGAGTAATCTTTTAAAAATAAATGAACTGTGTCAGGTGCCAGTGGCTCACGCCTGTAATCCTAGCTACTCAGGAGGCTGAGATGTGAGGATTGTGGTTCAAAGCCAGCCTGGGCAAGAAAGTCTGTGAGACTCTTGTCTGTAATAAAAATAAAAAACCAGAAGTGGCACTGTGGCTCAAGTGGTAGAGTGTTAGCCTTGAGCTGAAGAGTTCAGGGGCAGTGCCCAGGCCCAGAGTTCAAGCCTCACAAAAAATAAATTAAATTAAATTAAAATTAAAATTAAATTAAAAATTAAAATTAAATTAAAAACCCAGATGAACTGAAGTGTAATGGACTCTCTGGAAAGCAAACTAGTATAATCTTTTAAAAAGAATGTCAAAGCCCAACAGAACAAGTACCAGGACCTGGGTTGCAAGAGGGGACCTGGTTTTATAATTGGCCCAAATCTCCCCTCTCCTCTTTTTTGATCAATGCTGGTACTCTAGTACTTGAGTCATGCTTCTAGTTTTCCTCCCCACTTCTTAGGTTGTGGAGATAAAGTTGGGGCTAAGTAAATAAGGGGGTACCAGACAAGGAGGTACAAGAACCTGAAATTTATCTGGAAAAAAATAATGGACAAACCCTTGCCTGAGGGAAGAAGTAGAGACCTTCAAAAAGTGTGAGAGGGAAACTCCTGTCTATTCTCACAACCACAGACAGAAAAGTTGAAGAGACACATAAACACATCATAAATTATTGGGTACATGTGCTTGTTCGTAAATACTGGCTGGAAATGCTCTTTTTCCTCTCAAGAATAACTACTTATTAGAAAGATTACTATACTTTCACAAGGCTAGACTTGGAAAGCAATTGCTTATGTGGGAAGGTAAGTAAAAACTTCGAAGAGAATAGTGGTTTCCTTGTGTGCTGGACTCTAAAATAGTGCCATTATATAATAAGGTATATTTTTCCTTCAGACCCAAATACAGTGATTTCTGTTTCCCTTGTCTGTTCTCACACATTCCACTGTGTTGTCTGAGTCAGATCACCAGCAATTATTTGGTTTTAGGTGTTCCAATTTCCGCTGTGGTATATTAAGAGTGATTGGGCAGAAAAGCTTTCATTCTGAAGTTCAGAGAATAGCACAAAAGAATGATTCACATCATAGCAGGATATTGTAGGATAATTTGGAGAAGCTGTAGTCTGACCCCTTTTGTTACTTCTGTCCTCCATCAACAATGAAATGTTGTGCATACATGCCTGAGTAGAGAGGATGAAAAGCTTAGTTTGGAATTTGAATATGACCATGTTGGCTTTTATAAATGTAAGAAAATAGCTAATATTCCTGAAGCCTTAGTAATCTAATCATCAAATGAGAATAGTTACTTATTGTCAGGGTTGCAAATAGGATAGTGTTTTAATTCAGAAGCTCCTGGACATGGGATAGAGTTATGTCTTCAAAAAATTATCATAAGCTGCAAGTATTGTTGGTGTACCATGCTCTGTTTTTTTTTGGTGGGGGCAAGTATCAAGCATTGAAATCAGAGATTTGTATTTGCTGGGATGGTGTGCTTGCTTAGTTGGCACGCCATCCCTTGCACCATGCCACTATCCCTGCTTTTTGGAGATGGAGCTCAAGGACTTTTATGCTTGGCTTGTTTTGAACCTTAGTCTTCCAGATTCAACCACCTGACTAGCTGATCACAGGCATGAGCCACCAGTGCTAGCTAGCAACAAACTTTAGAATGATGAGTGGGTCACTGAAGAAATCATAGAGAACAATTTAAACTTCCTAGAAACAAATGAAAATTAAAACATAACTTACCAGAGTCTTTGGAGCATGGCAAAAACAGTCCTAAGAGGGAAGTTTATAGCTAAGTACACCCATATTATAAAACACACACACACACACACACACACACACACACACACACACACACACACACAAACACACAGCTGGGTTTTGGTGGCTCATGCCTATAATTTAGCTACACAAAAGGCTGAAATCTGAGGATTGCCATTTGAAGCCAGCCTTAGCAAGGAAGTCTGTGAGACTCTTATCTCCAGTAAACTACTCAGAAAAAGCTGGTAGTGGTGCTGTGGCTCAAATAGTAGAGCATTAGTCTTGAGCCCAAAGAGGTTCAGGGAAAATGCCCTGGCCCTGAGTTCAAGCCCTGAGACTTGCAAAAAATAACAAAACAACACACACACACACATACACACACATCAGAGAAATCTCAACTAGATAACCCAATGATGCACCTTAAGGTCTTAGGAAAAGAAGAACAATATGAACCTCTAATTAGTTGATGTATAGAAATAATAAAGGCAAAATAAATAATGGTGAAATAGAGAAGAAAAAACAAAACAGAGGATCAATGAAATAAAGAAATGATTCTTTGAAAAGATGAACAAGATTGACAAACCTCTAGTTAAACTAACCAAAAGAAAGAGAGAAGACACAAATTAATGAAGTTTGAAATGACAAATATTTATTTATGCATGTATTTATGTGTAACAAACCTTCTAATAATTGAATACATACAAGAAATGGATACATTTGTAGACACATATGACCCACCACAATTGAACCAAGAAGATATAAATAACTGAAACAGATTTGTGGTGATCAGTACTACTGAAGCAATAATAATCTTCCAGGAAAGAAAAGTCTAGTATTGGACAGACTTGCTACAAGACATTGAAAAAACTAATACCAATAGTTCTCAAATATTCTATAAAACAGAGATGGAAGAAACACTTCAAAACTCATTCTGTGAAACTAGTATTATCCTAATGCAAAACCAGTTAAGGAAAACACACCAACATACACACAAAGACTACAGACTAATTTCCTTTATAAAATAAACATAAAAACCCTCAATAATTATATTTGTCTTTGGTGGAGGGTCAGAGAGGCACAGAAACAGAGTGAAAAAGGGTGAATAAATGAAGCAAAGTGCTCAGTAGACATTGTGTTGAAAATTAACTATGCAACTTGTGGGTGGGGATGGGATGGAAACACTGGGAGAGACTGAAGGAAGGGGTGACATTGTCTAAACAGAAACGTACTCATTACCTGACTTATGAAACAGTAACTCTTCTGCACATCACTTTGATAATAACAATAAAAATCCCTCCATAAATTATTGCAAATGATCATACATTATGACCAAATTGGTTTCTTTCCAAGGACACAAATATACATATATTAAATAAAAAAATACAGAACACAGATAACAATCAAAAGCAGAAAACACCAGATCATCTCAATAGTGCAGAAAATACCTTTGACAAAATTCACCACCCCTTCATGATAAAAGCTCTGAAGAAATTAAGACTGAAAGGATTATATCTTTACATAATACATCTTTCTGATGGAGGCATAAAATTCCATTGTGTATATATACCACATTTTCTTGATCCATTCATCTACTGAGGGGCATCTGGGTTGCTTCC